ATTTTATCCCACCTGATGAAGCTCCTTCTCCTTAAACTCAGCTTTCCACAGCCTTGCGGTGACGCTTCAGTTGTTCCACGGCCTCCCATGCAGAGTTTAAGATCTTTTCACTGTTGTTTAAGGTGACTCTCAGCATCTTTGGATAACATCACCTGAATTTGATCCTGCACTCCTTCAGCTGACATTGAATCTCTCCATACTCCTTGGCAAATGGGAGATGTTTTCCTTGTGGGCTCTCTCCAAGAAAGCCCTCTCTGACAGAAATCTATTTATTCTGACTCAAACCACAACTTTCTACCTAACCTTAACGAAGAGATCCCTTTCTTTTTTTACGATTACATTTTTTATTGCTTTTCCACCACTTGATCACACATTTTACATGTCAATATGTCCATTTACAGCAATACAAAACCAAACTGAGAAAGACAGAAAACAGAAAACCAACATAAAACATAAAAGAGAACCTGCACATTCCTCTTGACAATATATACAGTACCACGTTTCCTCATACAACATTGCATTTCACATTCATCTACTGAGCATTACAAGATAATACACATACATCAAGGACATTCCACATGGATTTCAGTTATCATGGCGATCCTCTCTATTCATCATTTCCAGATAGAGGTCCCAGACTTTTCTGAACACACTTAGACTGTTGTTAACCCTGTGAATAAGCTGCTCAGAAGAAGCTATTTTAGCCAGTTCATCTCTCCATTCCTTAAAACTGGCCTTCTCTCTTGACTTTCAATGCCTAAGCACTATCCTGCTTCCTGTTAGGAGGGCTAATTTCACCCAAGAACACATATGTGCAGACAAGTTGGCTTCTATTGGTATGATGCCTAATATACATAATGCTGGACCCTCTGTGAATTCTGTTCCAAATATATTGTTAATACATCTGACAACCGCTGACCAGATGTCATGTACCATTTCACATTCATATAACATGTGGATCAACGTGCCCCTCCCTTGTCACACCTCCAACACTTGTTGTCCTCCCTTAGTCCCAGCCTCGACATCTTTGCTGAAGTCCAATAATTTCTATTTATTATTCTGAAAATAATTAAGCGTGTTTGCATGTCCCAGGCTGTGGAATACCACGATTGTACTGTTTTCCTCCAGCTTTCCAGTTGAATAGGTGTTTGCAGGTCTTTTTCCCAAGTCAGTTTGACACCCTCATAGTTTGGTGATTGATGTTCTCTAAGCACATTATAAAACCTGGATGTCCCCCCTCTAAGCTTCCAGCTCGATCGCCACAACTCCTGGATATCCGTGACAGGGGCAAGATGTTTCTTTCTATCTGCTGTTGTTATACAACTCCTCATTTGCATACATTTCCAAAGAGATCCCTTTCTTGTAGAGAGCCCTATAGGAAAATGTCTCCCAACTGCTACTCCTTGTGCCTCTGCTGCAGGGCTGTAGAGTAGTCATGATCAAATGTGATACAGGTTCCTTCAAACTGAAAGTTTTTTGTGTTCCAACCATACAGGATCCATTGCTGTTTTGAAAAGTGTAGGACTTAAACCACACCCAATCTGGAGATATTTGGGTTTGTGGCTTTTCATGCAAGAGACCTGTGAGCGCGCTTGATACTGAGATCATCCTCTTCAGGTAGTTTGAAAGCCACTTTCTGCCAAACATCATCGCCCTCGGTCCCTTCCTTCACTCAATAGATCTGCAGATTCAATACAGTCTCACTATGAAGTTGTTGAAAACTGGCGCTTGGTCACTGACTTCCGGCATCAGACACTGACAAAAGAAACTGTCCTTTGACATGAAAAGTGGCTGGTTACCATAATTTTTTAATGGTGCCTAGCGGCATTGGGTGTTAACGCGGAGGGACAACAATGGAAAGTAGGGTGAGCAGGAGGGGTGGTGGATGGGTTCAACAACCAACAACTTTCACCACGTTGCCTAAACCCAACCATGTGTTTGTGTTGGCTTAAGGTTACCCAGTGCATTTGTTGTTAAAGCAAAAAATTGTCAATTCCTGGTGTTGTACTGATGTAGTGTGTTTATTTATAAAGACACACATGTATGCAAACTTTACATTTCCTGTAAAAACAGAAGTGCATTTTTAAAACAGACAGTGTATGTAACAGGCTTAAGTTGACACGCTGTCCCAGAATATCAACATGTGTGACAAAGTCCAACACCAAATGTCAATATGTGACAAAGTCGGAGTGAGAACGTTATGGCAGTTTGGACCGTCTTGAACTATTTTTCATTGTCAATTTTGTCCAGCCTGTCAAGCTAGCTTCCAGGCTGGTTGTAGATTTTTTTGTCCCTTCGTTTTTGTTGTGCCTACTGAGTCCAGTGAAGTGTTTATTTGCTTACTATATAGACATATGACTTAACACAGCATTTAATAAAACATATACTTTTATTTATTTGGTGCAAGACAGTCATTGCACTAGTCACTTCATTTTCATCCCATTGTCATTCCACAACAAAAAAATCATACATAATCAACATCACTGTCAACAAAACCACAACAAGCAATCAAACGGCAATCCTTAGAGGCTATGGTATGCATGAAGCCACGAGTTTCAACTCCTTACACAGGAGTACACACACTAGCTTATTATACTTGCAGAAGGCTTGTAACATCAGATCTTACACTGTAGCCAGTTCTGGGCAAGGGGGGCACACAAACATTGTATTCATCAAGACCACATGACGTCACAGTGTTTTCACGCTGCCATATTTGTGTCCGCCCACAGTAGTCAGATCACAGGTCACAGCGTTGTCACATTACCAAAACAAGTAGAGTAGGAGGAAAATCTGCGAGAGACCGAAAATTTATGTTCATTGAATGATGCCAGGAATATGTTGTGCTGTTGGCTGTGATACCAGTCGACAAAGAAACCCCTAACTACAGTTTTATTCCATCCCAAAGGATGTAGACCAGCGGAATAAATGGTTGGCTGCGATAAGAAGAGACCACTGGCAGCCAACAGCTACCTCCAGGTTGTGCAGTCAACACTTCGTGTCCGGCAAGTCCTCAACTCTATCTAATTTTTATTTTAGTCTTTGAAAACCCCTTACAAAACACGCGAAACATGATTAACTTCAGATGCCATATGATTAACGCCGACAGCCCAACAGCATGCTAAAGTGCAAATGTTTAGCAAACAACTCACTTGCTAACATGATCAGAGTTAACCACAAACAGTCTACATGAAAAGTCACACATACGTTTCCCTTCATGGATGATAAAGCATGGATGTCAGCTGGCAGCGAGCTAAAGTGGTAATGTAAACAAACTGGCGAACTGATAGCCCCGCAGCTAACAACTTGCTAGCTAATCAGGGTAACGTTAACAGAAAACTACTACCAAAACCACACTTTTAAACATGGTTGTTGAATTACTTACATGTGCCGTGATGATATATAATTTCTTTGGCTCCAGGTGCCATATCCGTGCTTCCTTCACCCATCCAGCTACAGCATACTGGTAGGCATCCGTGCTCTTAAAAGCCTTCAGGCTGTCTCGGCTGTCGGGGGACGGATTATGAATCAAATAAATATAAATATCCGGGAACATGAGTTGGGGCAGGCGTTTTGCAGAGGTTAGCGGACAAAATACTGTTGAGGGTACTAAATATGGGTCGGAACCAGTAATGGAAATTTTTAACAAATATCGTTGTCTCTCCGTCTTGTTTAAGTGTGAGGTGTGTACTGCCATAGCGAAACTGAGGGGTACAGTCAAATCAAACACAAATATGGCGGCGGTCTTGTGCCCATGTCTAAATGGAAAGCAGCTGTTATGAATCTTAATAAAGTTCTCATATAATCATGTTATAAAATCTAAGATCCTTACAGATATTGCCTTTTTTATACTGTATTCAGACATTTTTTCAGCAGAGAGTGGGACTTAAGTCTTGAGTAGAACAATTCCCTTCATTTGCAACAAAACTGAACCCAGGAGTCCACTTACTAGCTTTCTGGGGCTTTCAATCCTTTCTCATTGTTGAATGGTGCTGGTTCAGGTGTCATCATGTGGCAGTGCAGACCAACAATGCTGGAATGCATCCATGGGCATTCAGTATGTTGTTAAGACATAGGTGTGCGTAGTGGATATTATTTCATAAATTTTAAAAGCAGAAAAGGAGATGGGATTATTGTTAGGGTGTGCACATAGAGAGGCATCCAAACAGGACAATGTGGATGCTGAGGATGCATTAAAAAATTAGGGAGCATTTATTTAAACAGAGGAGATGTTTGTGGTCAAGAAGCACAGTATAGATTAACAAATATGCCTTTGAAGGTTAAAAATGGGCTACTAATCGTAAGATTGGCAGTTTGATCCCTGGCTCCTCCAGTCCGTAGGCTGAAGTATCCTTGGGCAAGATACTGAACCCCAAAACTGTTCATCTTACACACTTATTTCATCAGTGTGTGATTGTGTATGAATGGTTAATTGAGTAGCAGGTGACACCATGTATGGTAGGCTCGGCCACCAGTGTGTGAATGGGTGAATGTGCGGTGGTGTTAAAGTGCTTTGAGTAGTCTGAAGACTAGAAAGGCGCAATACAAGTTCAATTCCATTGACCAACAGACATACAACAAAAGATACCTCAGATCATCACAATCAGACAGATTTAGTTGACACAAACCGTTGCTTTTGCTGGATTGTATCAGCTGCAGAATTAACAATAATGCCACACTTAGCCAAAGGCCAAAACTTGAGCGTAGCGTTAGTTCGGGCAGGACACTATGTTGACCTCAGCTCACATCCCAGCTACATCAGCTGATCTTAAGCAGCCCAACCAACTGATGGAGCAGCCGATTGATGAAAGGGAGTCAGCTGATAGAAATATGCAACCAATTGCCAAGTCTCATTCAGGGCACTCTATTTAAACTGCTTTGGCCTGCCTACTGTTGCTGCTTCCTGTGCAAGCTGCTTTGCAACCTGCCTCTACCCCAGCCCCTCCTTTTCATGCTGTGTCTGACTTAGGAATGTAATTTCTGTTTGTCATTGATGCTCGCTCTGTTCTGTTCCCAGGGGGGCTTTGCTGCTGCTCTGGAATGGCAGAAAGGTTTGCTCTCTCTGCCTCAGGCTTTCCTGGTATTAGGGCTGTGCAGTATACCGCTTTGTACCGAAAACCGGTATTTATTTTTGTTATGATATGAATTTTTCATATATCCCAATACTGGTGAATTGCCCAAACAACGTCCGGAACGTGCGTGGCTGTAAAGTGTTTCAGCAGGGACCCATTTCACCGCTGCACACCACAGGGATGCTAGAACTGGCGAGAGTGAAAGAATAGAGAAAAGTTTAGAGGGAGAATGGCTGCCGGAGAAAGTTCTGAAGGCGAAGCAACTGTACACGTTGCTGAAGAAGAACACGATGACCCATAAGAACTAATACCAAAAAGAGCAGTGTTTCCCCTATATGCATATATATATGCCGCCGCTGATGATTTTTACGGACGCTTCATATCCTGGCCTATAGAACAGGTCTATACCTTGTCCTTTTATTAAACAAACTAAATAGCCTTATGTTATTTATCTTATTTACATGACGGCATGTCATTTCTGTCTCTACATGATCGAGTGTTTACATTCTCCTCTGCTCTCTGTATTGCGCACGGTGGAGTTTCGCCCCGATGGGTGAGCACACTAGAGTACGGCTTGGGCCGCATTTTCCTGACCGAAGCCGACCCGAGTCCGAAACAATTATAACCGAGCATGGCACTAATGGAGCGGAGCTTGTGTTGCATTCAGGCGTTGCCACGCAAATAACAAATTCCAGCACTTGAATAGGCCATAGCACAACACAGCAGCATGACAAGGGGGCCGAACCCGAGCAAAATACCATCAAATACCATGAAACCAATGTGATTTTTAAAAAAAAAAAAAACGTGATATGAAAATTTTGTCCTACCGCCCAGCCCTACCTGGTATGCATGTGGAAGGGCAGAGACGTGTTCTCTCTCTGCCTCAGGCTTTCCTCGTTTGTGAGTGGAAGGACAGAGAGTTGTGCTCTCTTAAGGAAAGGCAGAGAGATCCCAGAACAGAGCCATACCACCAAATATAATACTGCAAATGGAAATAAAGTTTTCTTTGAATGAAGTGGTCCTGCCTGAATTCCACTTCACTTGTAACAAGAAATGCCACTCTTTAAAAACACTCTACAACTGTGAGTGGATGATGTAGTTTTGTACTTTTTTAAGGCTAACAGAGTCAAGTTCAACCATGTCAATTTCAGCTGAATGTTGTACCTTAACTTTGATTCATACAACATGAATAATTTGAGCTTTTGAATTCTCCAGGAGGACTTGGTACTTGAGTCAGAAATTTCTTGTCAAAAGGTGAGACAAATTTGTGACCAGTATAGAACTGTACCACCACATACAGTAAAACTGGTTTTAGGTTGCTTGACCATTTTAAAAAGCACACAACCTTTTAAGCAGTCAACTGTTATTCCTCTAAGTAGTTGGGTAGCACAGCAAATGCTACATAGCTGTATTTTATTTTCTCTGGATGAAAAAAAAGCACACTCTGCACCCAATGCTTCCCAGTCTACTGATTCAGAAGAGGAACAAGCACCTGGGCTGGTTTGACAATAGGGCACAGGGTAAAAGTGCAAAGGGCAGCTGACCTGTCCTAATCATTGTCCCTGTGTGTGTGTGTGTGTGTGTGTGTGTGTGTGTGTGTGAGTGTGTGTGTGTGTGTGTGTGTGTGTGTGTGTGTGTGTGTGTGTGTGTGAGTGAATGAGTGACCAAGTGACCAGGTGTAAGTCAGGCCACCTGATGACACCTGAGCAAGCTCCATTCGCCAAAGACGACTTTGAGATGCAGTTGAAAGTTCTGAAAGCTAGTGAGTGGACCTTTAAGCTTAGATTATTTCATTAAGGCCAAAACACACCGGCAGCAAATGGCACATGTCAAAAAATATGACCATATTATTTGCAATGTGCAACCCCACACTGGTGGCAGCTAGACGTGTGTTGGCGTTCCTGGACTGGAATGGAGAATGGCCAAAAAGATAGCTCTTGGTGAGTTATAGCTCTGGGGATCGGCTCTTCAGGTGGGATTTCAACTTTAACTAGTGGGTGTCCACATGATTTTAAGCTAACACAAGTAAAAGTGGTACAGATCTTTCAGTAACAATACTTTGTGTGGTCACCTATTGATGAGCTGCAGCGCAACACAACCTGTGTGTGCTGGGCGGCACTTGACGTGCGTCGGTTGTGCTGGTGTGTTTTCAGCTTTAGACATACTGTTCCCATGCTTATTCCCTTCATAATAGTAACATATTTCCATATACTTTTACTGCACCAATGCAAATACATGATTAATTCCAACAGAGGACTGAAATACAATCTGTGATTAAGTCCCATAAAGGAAATGATGTCACATGAATCTAAATAATAATCAATCAAACACAAATGTCTTAAGCAGATGTGCATGTTGATGTAAAGCTAATCCAGAGAGGGCAACACATGGAGCACCCAGTGGTCTTCATTCAGCCATTCCCTTCTGCTTACTCAAGAAAAGGCTTCTGGACTGTGGCTTAATCAGTTTTTTTGATTCCAGCAAACCCGGTCCACTTCCAAACACACTGCAAACCTGAAAAGTTCACCCTCCTCCTCTGCTCTCACTCAGGCTGTTCATCTTAGTAACCAGATCAGTTCAGTATTATTCAGCAGCACAGTGGCTGGTGTTTGGGCTCCAGGGGGCTCCCCTGGTCTGTGCCTAGGATGGTGCAGTGTTTGGGAAATCATAGTGGTCTATGCTCCCCCTGTCAGTCTCCTCTCCAGCCGGTCCAGCTTGGCCAGGTTTTCCTTCAGAAGTTTGGAACCGGGGCTAAGAAGCAGGGCTCGCTGGTAGTACATCCTGGCTGCTGCATAGTCTCCCTGCATACACACACAGAACAATGCATGGATTACAACCAATCTATGTTCAATTCAGAACTAAAGGGGGCGGTTGCTCTGTCAAAAGCTTAAAGGGATAGTGCACCCAGAAATGAAAATTCAGCCATTATCTACTCACCCGTATGCCGATGGAGGCCCTGGTGAAGTTTTAGAGTCCTCACATCCCTTGCGGAGATCAGCGGGGGGAGCGGCCAGCACAATAATGGCAGACGGCGCCCCAGACTAATGTCCAAGAACACAAAATTGAATCCACAAAGTATCTCCATACTGCTCATCCACAGTGATCCAGGTGTGCTGCAGCCCCGACATAAAAAGTTGTTTGGAAAAACGTCATATGAACTCTGTTTTTTAGCCTCACTGTAGCCTGTAGCTCTGAATGTTTCTCTGTGCTTCGCATTCACGTGTGTGCGCTCAGGGTGATCAGTGATCTCTGAAGACCAGCAGTCTCGTCAGTACTGATGTCCAGATTCTCAAGTGCAGGCATCGCCAATTCCCAGTCTGAGCAGCAAAGACTTTCCTCATCCGTTGGCATTGCTTTGCATTTGAAACAACTACACGACCAGGTTTCCAGTGCTCGACTCTGGTATTCTGCGGCTGGCTGAGGCTCATGAGCTGTGGCGGCTGCTTCATCCAGTAGCATCCAGAGCTACAGGCTACAGTGAGGCTAAAAACAGAGTTCATATGACGTTTTTCCAAACAACTTTTTATGTCGGGGCTGCAGCACACTTGGATCACTATGGATGACTATGGAGATACTTTGTGGATTCAATTTTGTGTTCTTGGACGTTAATCTGGGGTGCCGTCAGCCATTAGGTGTGCTGGCCACTCTCCCCGCCAATCTCCGCAAGGGATGTGAGGACTCTAAAACTTTACCAGGGCCTCTGTCGGCATATGGGTGAGTAGATAATGGCTGAATTTTCATTTTTGGGTGCACTATGCCTTTAAAGGAGCGTCGTGTAGGACTGGTGGTATCTCGCAGTGAGGTTGCAGATTGCAGCCAACTAACAACCCTTCTCCTCACCTCCTTAGGGTGGCCTTCAGGTAATGCAAAAAACCTGAAAGGCCCTCATGAGTCAGTGTTTGGTATGTCCACAACGTTGCCAACTTGGTGACTTTCTCACTAGATTTATCAACACTTCAGACCCTATTGGAGACTTTATTTCCAAAAAGCGACCAGCAACACATAGTGCATCTTATTCAGGTGGCCAGGGAAAATGCAAGGTTTCTATTATCTTGTAATTCATCTCCATGAATGCTGCTCAGAGTAATAAAAGTCCAAAGCTCCTTGGGCCATGACTGCGCTGTCTCTCACCCCTCTCGTCTTCCGCGAGCAGGCAGTCAGTAGGTGTGGAGAGCACAGGTGGAGAGGAGGCATTGCTTGCCGCAGTGTGGGGGTTTAGCTGTAGTGAGTGTCTATGGTCAATTTATGCTGATGCTCTCGCACTCTTGTTTGGAAGCGCACAATGACTTCGGAATGAGAACAGGCTGGTAAATGAACTGTGATAAACTTGTCCATTTTACCAGCACCTAGATCTCTCTGCCCATCTCTCGAATCCTATCTGCTGGATTTCGCAGGCTCTAGGGCTTTTGATGAAATTACAAATTGAACTTCTAAATTTCCTTCCACCACCATGGACACAAACTTTAAATATAAATCAAGATTTTGTTATTGCAATGCCTATTTCTCGCCAAAATGTCCTCACAAACATATTTAAGTACACTGTTTGGCTGTAAAACGAGAATTTGTGAACAGGAAGTGGGTGCCATACTGTTTCCTGTATTGTGAAAATGGAAGCTAAAAAAACTAAGATCAAATGAAGAGGTGGGAGTTGTGGGTTTTCTACCTCTTGGGGAAAGGTGAATGCCAAAGCCCTTTTCTTCTCTTTCACTGATCATGCAGCACCAATTTCAAAAGTGTTTGCATCTTTCTACTGCACAGACAGCCCAGTCTTAAAGGTCAAAGCTAATGTGGGCATGTTAGAAGTATACAACAAAAGTTGTGTTACAGTTAATGAAATCCCTTTGGTCACATGTCCTTCCTGTTTTGAAATCAGTGGTCTTTGTTTGAGTCACATTTGGACAGTGCTTATATGTGTTAATGAGACACTTGAAAGTACATGAGGGTTTCTTTAACTTCATGTCCTCTTTGTGTGCTGGTAAATAACTATGTACCAGTTTTTCCTTTGTGGTGGGAGCTTGTTTGTATAAAATAACTGGTAATTCATGGAAGACTGTTCTCAAATTAGGGTCACTTTTAAGGATATGCCAATTTGAATGCATGATCTGTTTGCTTTCTTTAGATTTAGTGCTATAGCGAGTGACAAAAAATGAGTTAGAGGACTTCCCATCTTTGTGTTAGACATGTACAATAGATGGCTGCAGTTTACATGTCTGACTTTTTCTGAGGCTGTCTTAATAATATGTGGCTTGTAAGACCTTTCTGTCAATTGCTTAGACTTTCTGCTTGCTTATCAAAGTCAGAGTCAGAGTCACAAATACGCCTGGCTCCTCGAAACTGTCCATAAGGGATATTCAAACAATGTGGGTTTCGTTAATAATTGGCAAACTTTCTGGGGAAAACCTGGTCTTATTAGGAGAGACGGCATTCATCCCACTTTGGATGGAGCTGCTCTCATTTCTAGGAACCTGGAAAATTTTAATAGTAATTCAAATCCCTGACAACCCAGAGTTGAGATCAGGACTCAGAGTCGCAGTCCAATACACTTCTCTGAGCTTCTAGTGCAATTACCCACCCATAGTTTTCATAGTTTTATACAAACGGTGTCTGTCCCCCGACCACCTAAATTATATAAATCTAAAATTAAACAAAGAGGAGTTGTATATAACAACCTCATAAAAATTAAAACTTCTTCTGTGACAAAGACAAAACAGGAGAATTGAATGCGGACTGTTAAATATCAGGTGTCTATTGTCTAAAGCAGTGTTAGTAAACAAAATAATATCAGATAATCATGTTGATTTACTCAGTCTCACTGAAACCTGGCTGTGTCCAGATGAATATGTTAGTCTAAATGAATCCACTCCTCCCAGTCATAATAATACCCACATTCCTCGAGGCAGCGGCCGAGGAGGGGGAGTTGCAGCCATTTTTAACTCTAGTCTGTTAATCAGCCCTAAACCTAAACTAGACTATAATTCATTTGAAAGCCTCGTTCTTAGTCTTTTACATCCGACCTGGAAAACCTCGCAGCCACTTTTATTTGTTATAGTGTACCATGCTCCTGGCCCGTATTCTGAATTTGTTTCTGAATTCTTGTCATGTCCAAGAAACGTTGTTAAGTTAATTTAATCAGTTTGTCTCGTGTCTACGTTGTCTCGTGATTTCCTGTTTTATTTTGAAAGTTAACTCTCCTCTCATTTCAGGCAACTTGCTCCTTCCCCTGTGTGTTTTCCTGCTGGTCTGATTGTCTGCCTCGCCCCTGATTGTTTCCACCTGTGCCCTTACCCTGTGTGTATATATTGTCTGCGTCTCCCTTTGTCCTGTGCCAGTTCGTCTTGTCCTTCGTGTCAGAGAACCAGTGTCGTGTCCATGCCATTTGCCATTGCCATTGTCAGGTCTTGTTATTTTGATACTTTGTTCATGTTTGATTTCTGTTTGTTTTTTCATAGTGATTGTACAGCCTCAGTAGAGTGATTTTCTGTTTGTTTTTTCAGTCTAGCGTTTATTTTCTAGATCATTTTTGTTCTTAGATTTAGTGTAGGTTTTTTCCTCTTTGGAGAGTGATTTTCATTTTGTGTTTTTATTTAAATAAACTTTGATTTTGTACTTTGCTTCTCGAGTCGTGCATTTGGGTTCAGGTCCTTTGTTCAATTCTCAGAGTTTTTATCCAGTTTAGTTCTTAAATCAGATAAAGTTATTATTGTAGGCGATTTTAACATTCATGTCGACGTTGATAATGACTCCCTGGCTACCGCGTTTATCTCATTATTAGACTCCATTGGCTTCAGTCAGGGTGTACATGAACCCACTCACTGTTTTAAACATACCCTTGATCTAGTTCTGACGTATGGAATTGAAATTGATAACCTAACAGTCTTTCCACAGAATCCCTCGCTATCAGATCATTATTTGATTACTTTTGATTTCTTTTTACTCGATTACACGCCACTCAGCAACAGTTACTATAATAGATGTTTATCAGATAGTGCTGTCGCAAAATTTAAGGAAATTATTACTCCGTTGTTAAATTCAATACCAAGTCCTTCAGTAATAGAGGTTTCCCGTGCCGACATTAACCTCTCCCGAATTGATCATCTCAAAGCAAAGAAAGTTTGCTCCTTAGTATAACTCTCAAACCTGTAAGTTAAAACAAATATAGCAAACATTTGAAAGGACTTGGTGATTAACCAAACTGGAAGAATCTTGTTTAATCTGGGCAGACAGTCTCAAAATTTATAAGAGGGGCCTCCGCAATGGCAAAGCAAACTATTACTCAGCATTAATAGAAGAAAACAAGAATAACCCCAGGTTTCTTTTCAGCACTGTAGCCAGGCTGACTGAGAGTCAAAGCTCTGTTGAGCCTTGTATTCCTTTAGCCCTTAGCAGTAATGATTTTATGAGCTTTTTTAATGACAAAATTCTAACTATTAGAGGCAAAATTCATGACCTCCTGTCCTCAGATAGTACCTATCTAACCTCAAACACAGCTGTAAGACCTAATATATATTTAGATTGCTTCTCCCCAATTTCTCTTCAAGAATTGACAGCAGTGATTTCTTCATCTAAATCATCAACGTGTCTCTTAGACCCCATCCCAACTAGGCTACTTAAGGAGGTCTTTCCTTTAGTTAACACTCATATATTAGATATGATCAATATATCCTTATTAACAGGCTATGTACCACAGTCTTTTAAGGTAGCTGTAATTAAACCTCTACTAAAAAAGCCCACCCTGGATCCAGAGGTGTTAGCCAACTATAGACCAATATCTAATCTTCCCTTTATGTCAAAGATCCTTGAGAAAGTAGTCGCAGACCAGCTGTGTGATTTTCTCCATGATAATAATTTATTTGAGGAATTTCAGTCAGGATTTAGAGTGCATCATAGCACTGAGACAGCACTAGTTAAAATTACAAATGACCTTCTGATTGCTTCAGACAAAGGACTTGTCTCTGTACTTGTTTTATTAGATCTTAGTGCGGCGTTTGACACAATTGACCATCAAATTCTACTGCAGAGACTGGATCACTTAATTGGCCTAAAAGGTTCTGCACTAAGCTGGTTTAAATCTTATTTATCTGATCGTTTTCAGTTTGTTGACGTTCATAATGAATCATCCTTACGTACCAAAGTTTGTTTTGGAGTTCCGCAAGGTTCTGTGCTCGGACCAATCCTATTTACTCTATATATGCTTCCTTTAGGTAACATCATTAGAAATCACTCTATAAATTTCCATTGTTATGCGGATGATACTCAGTTGTATTTATCGATGAAGCCAGAAGAAAGTAATCAATTAACTAAACTCCATAACTGCCTTAAAGACATAAAAACTTGGATGAGCACCAATTTCCTGATGTTAAATTCAGACAAAACTGAAGTTATTGTTCTTGGCCCCAAACAACTCAGAGACTCTTTATCTGATGACATAGTTTCTCTAGATGGCATTGCTCTGGCCTCTAGCACTACCGTAAGAAACCTCGGAGTAATATTTGATCAAGATTTGTCTTTTAATTCTCATTTAAAACAAACCTCACGGACTGCATTTTTTCATCTGCGTAATATTGCGAAAATTAGGCCTATCCTGACCCGAAAAGATGCAGAAAAATTGGTCCACGCTTTTGTTACCTCTAGGCTGGATTACTGTAACTCTCTATTATCAGGTAGCTCTAGTAAGTCCTTAAAAACTCTCCAGCTAATTCAGAATGCAGCAGCACGTGTACTAACAGGAACTAAGAAACGAGATCATATTTCTCCTGTTTTAGCTTCTCTGCACTGGCTCCCTGTAAAATCCAGAATTGAATTTAAAATCCTACTGTTAACTTATAAAGCTCTAAATGGTCAAGCTCCATCATATCTTAGAGAGCTCATAGTGCCATATTATCCCACCAGAACTCTGTGCTCGGAGAATGCAGGGTTACTCGTTGTCCCTAAAGTCTCCAAAAGTAGATCAGGAGCCAGAGCCTTCAGCTATCAGGCTCCTGTGGAATCATCTTCTTGTTGCAGTCCGGGAGGCAGACACCATCTCCACATTTAAGACTAGACTTAAGACTTTCCGCTTTGATAAAGCTTATAGTTAGGGCTGGCTCAGGCTTGCCTTGTACCAGCCCCTAGTTAGGCTGACTTAGGCCTAGTCTGCTGGAGGACCCCCTATAATACACCGAGCACCTTCTCTCCTTCTCTCCTTCTCTCTCTCTCTCTCTCTCTCTCTCTCTCCTATTACTGCATCTTGCTAACTCGGCCATTCTGGATGTCACTAACTCGGCTTCTTCTCCGGAGCCTTTGTGCTCAACTATCTCTCAGGTTAACTCGTATTGCAGCGGTGCCTGGATAGTGTGACATGTGTGGTTGTGCTGCTGCCGTGGTCCTACCAGATGCCTCTAGAGCTTAGATCGGGCCCAAAAAATTCAGCCCGACCCGGCCCGAGCCTGTGCACATTATGTCCGGGACTGGCCTGGCCCGTCCAATTAACTGTAATTAACAGCCCGAGCCCGATTTAAACCCGACATTTTGCAATAAGTTGGCTGTTACAATTAACGCTAAGGACACACCGAGCGCATTAGTCAATCAATCAATCAATCAATTTTATTTATAAAGCCCAATATCACAAATCACAATTTGCCTCACAGGGCTTTACAGCATACGACATCCCTCTGTCCTTATGACCCTCGCAGCGGATAAGGAAAAACTCCCCAAAAAAACCCCTTTAACGGGGAAAGAGGAAGAGCAACTGAGGAGGGATCCCTCTTCCAGGATGGACAGACGTGCAATAGATGTCGTACAGAACAGATCAGCATAATAAAATAACAGTAATCCGTATGACACAGTGCCGTGCCGTGGAAGTACTGCGAGTGTACTTGCAGGCGCTTGACTGTCCACACAGGCAGTGCATTTCTCCTGCGCTCCCCACGCCAGTTAAACATTGACTCCACTCGTCTGTTCCCGTCAGTACTCATTTTGTCACTTCAACAGATCATTTTAAACATGGCTAAGTCCATATTTTCATCGTTTTTTATAACATAGTAAGTTCATGACAATTTGTCATTGCATGTCCATGTATTGAGCGTGTTGGGTAAACACTGAATGAATAGGGCATATTTTTTGGAGGCATGGAAAGCCGCTGTCCCTCCCACTTATCTCGGGCTAGGGCAGAGAATCTAAGCTCTAGATGCCTCCTGCTGCTGTTGTTATCATTAGTCATACTTCTACTGTTATTATACACATATTATTATAGTCACATATGTATATTATCAGATATTAATATATACTTTCAACATATCATACCACAGTAACCAGAACTATAATTATATTATTACTTTCATTAATGTTGTTGTAAGCTACTGTCATTACCGTCTGTCCTGCATCTCTCTCTCTCTCTGTCTCTGTCTCTCTCTCTGTCTCATTGTGTCATACGGATTACTGTTAATTTATTATGAAGATCAGTTCTGTACGACATCTATTGCAAGTCTGTCCGTCCTGGAAGAGGGATCCCTCCTCAGTTGCTCTTCCTGAGGTTTCTACTGTTTTTTTTTCCCGTTAAAGGGTTGTTTTTGGGGGAGTTTTTCCTTATCCGCTGTGAGGGTCCTAAGGACAGAGGGATGTCGTATGCTGTAAAGCCCTGTGAGGCAAATTGTGATTTGTGATATTGGGCTTTATAAATAAAACTGATTGATGATTGATTGATTTTAAAGTGTTACAGATGAAAAGAATGATAACAGAGAAGAAATGATGATGTGTTTCTTTATGAAATAAAGTGGTATGTGTGCCACTGTCATTATCTTTATAAAAAGTGAGATCTAAATAATTGATTTTCTCTTTAGAGTACTAAAACTTTAATCTCATAATTTCATTAGTTGAATTTGGGTAATCATGAAGGACTGTAATTCAGTCTCACTACCTAAAACATCGTCAAAGAAAATATTCTTTTGGGGTTACAAAGGAACTCTTCCTCCCAAAGACTCCAGTTCCATTTTCAAAAGAAAATCAGTAGGGGGCATAGTTTCTTGCTCGTGGGATAAACAGTATTTACCTTCAAGTATGCCCACTGAATGCACAATATTAGTGTATGGGGATTCTACATCAAAAGTTACTGAATATGTATCTCCAACTTCATCAATTTCTGACATCTTATTCAAAACATGTGTAGTACCCTGTACATAAGACGGAAGTCTGTGTACAAATGAATTTTGGAAAACAATCAAGAAATTGGGATGCTGGCTCAGTCAATGTCACATTGCCCCACACTGTATATTGTTCATGTGCACTTCAAATTCTTTCCAGGAAGTTATGAAACTGTAATATTTCACAATAAATTACATTAATACTACCTCACAAGCTTTTACTGTGAGATTTAACCAAATTCAGAATTATTTTGTGAAATTCATGCAGGTAAATATAGTAATTTTACAGAAGCATACTGCTAAATCACTGTGAGGTTACATTAAATATAGTCATTTTACAGGAGCATACTGCTAAATCACAGAAATATGCAGGCATAACTACTGTGAGATCACAGTATACAACTGTCATTTCATAACAACTTACTGTTAATAACAATAATTTTTCCCCTTCTGCATTTTTAGCAGGAGCACTGAGGAGCTAAGCATGTTGGATGAGTTTTAAAAAAATCAAAACAGTTTTTTTACCTACTACAGTATGGCCCAGTGTTTGTGTGTTGTAACTTTAGAAATGAATTGATGATTGCTACCTTAATGTGCTGAATCCCTCCCATGTTCATCCAGGCCTGGGACTGGTCAGGTTTGAGTTCCACAGCCAGCTTGTAGCTCTGGTGGGAGAGAACAAAAACAGACTACTCAGAATTGTATATCAAGAGACAGTCACATCCAGGGGCGTCACTAGGAGCTGAAAACATCTGGGGCTTTAGCCCTGAAGTGGGAACAAGTTTTTACCCGGGGGTCCGGGGATTCTCCCACGGGAGAATTTTCAATAATTCCCTGTTAAACACGTGATTTTAACGTATTTTGACAAAGAATTTTGACAAAGAATGAGCATTCGTCTTCTATTATTAGGTTGCTTAAATTAGACTTCAAGAATGACTTTGCAAACACAGTGTGAAACAATGCACTAATCACGAAGAATATAGTGATGTTGCACATCAAATTAAACAGCAGAACCTGGGCTACAAGGCTGTATAAACCCTATTTACATGCCCCAAACACAGCTCAAACAACAACTAAATGAATAACAACAAATCAAACTCCATAGAGCACCGATGTGCTGACCCACTCGCCATATTTTGGGCTCTAACTCCACACCACGTTATGCAAAACACACGCCAGATTCATCTCAAATGAAAGCAGAGACTCTGCTGTTTCCACGCATATCCACCAAAGCACGCTACACCAAAGCATCAGAGAGATAAAGGGCCAAAGAACAACAACAACAGAAATTGTTTCGCCGAACGATAGTTGTAAAATTTCTCTTACCTTTCTTGAAATTACAAACAAAAGAATTTTACAAATACCTTCAGGTCAGACACTATGTACATACTAAAATGGATACTCTTAATCTCCCAGATGACTTTAACTTACTAGAAAAGACTCCTTCAGATAATCTTAAACAAAGTCACTTTGTATCCAGATTTTACTCAAAGCTGCAGCATTTGAATACCGACAGGTTATCATTCCTACGGAAATCATGGGAAACTCAGTTGAAAACAAGAATAGATACTGAAGTATGGGAGGAAATTTTACTTTTACCTACGAAAATATCCATATGTAACAGATTCAGAGAAATGCAATATAATATCTTAGAAAATGTTTATATATCTCCATATATGTACAGTAAATATACGACAGGGGCTTCTCCAAACTGCCCAAAATGTCAGACTATTTTAGGGACAAGACTTCACTGCCTCTGGGAATGTGAAAAGATTCAACAGTTTTGGCAAACCATATGTACTGAGGTTAGTGTGGTAATTAAGCAGCAATTACAGCCTAATCCATTATTGTGTCTATTGGGTTGTATCCCTGAATCATTAGGAACACATAAGAACACAGTTCATTTTCTGCTTATGTTGGGCCAAAAGGCTGTTATGACCAAATGGGTAGGAGATGAACCTCCTTCAATACATCTGTGGAAGTCTTTGATATCAGATTATATTTCTCAGGAAAGACTAAAATTTTGTATTAACAGTCAGAAGGACCTCTTTACAGCAAAGTTTGGCAAGGGGTTGGAGTATCTGGACACTCAGAGTGCAATTGCCTGAAATGTCAGACCTAATAAAGACTTTTGAGATCATTGCTGTGGATGTATTTTGGATTTGCTACATATCTTATACAACCGGTATATGTACTGTGCTGGACTGTTATAATTTTGAAAATATTCAATAAAAAGAATGTTTAAAAAAAAACAAAAACAAAACATCTGTAAAGATGTGAAGCCCTGACTGTATCTGACTGAGCATTAATGAAAGCTGTTGTCTATTTTTTTCCTTTGAAAATATTAACCTTACAATCAAACACTGTTTATTTAGCCTGTGTAGCTGAGGGGACAGGTCAAACTGATATGATGCTGATTTACAGGAGAATTCATGTAAACTGGAGTATAAACCATGGACATAAACTACAGATCAGATGTAAAGCATTTAAATAAATTAATCTATCATAATTAAACAACTGGAGACTGAAAACAAACTGGCAAATGGGTCTGATCACTTTTTTAATGAACTGACATCATTCCAGACAGGATGTAAGCATGCCTGTGACTTCCTGTATGGACTGAAGGCTGCTGGAAACTGTCGGGAAACTGTCTGACTTCACCGCGGCTTTTTGTCACCGCCCCCTGCTGCGGCTGCCTGCTCTCGTCTGCGCCAGGCGAGGCGCAGTTCTTCTCGAACGAGCCTATTGACTGCATACAGCAGCTGGCACCTCACCCACAATGGCATTCTGCTGACTCTGACTGGCTTACAGTGCTGTCAATCTTGTAGGTATAGCGTTATTCTATTGACTCTAACAAATTAAACGAGGTGTCTATCACTCAAATCGACCAATCCATTGCGGAGATAGAGCTTCCAAAGCACAGAAGAGACAATCTGCTTCACATTTAGATGGTGTGTGTGTGGTCAGTTTGGAGTGGGAAATAAATGGAAAAAATGAAACAGACAGTTGTATGTGTATATACTGAACACCATTAGGGATATACTACTTGCTCTCCTCCCTCTGCCTTTTTGTTTTTTCCAAAAAATCATCTAATATTCATACTTACTACAAGACTAATTACAACGCGGCAACTCTGTGCTGGCCACCAGTATGCACAATAAATACAATTGTAATACAGAGTATTAGTTATCATTCTGACTTCCCATATATGGGCATATGCCTTGTAAGCTGGTGTGACAGTGAGTGTGTTGTATGCTGCTGTGCTGCGTGCGCTGCTGTCTCTTGTACTCCCGTAACGACGTCCATGGTCACATCATTCCAGTCAAGGAACAACAACAGGTGGTTGTGAATGTCTGAAGACACTGATCGAGGCCCAGCTAAGAAATTCAAATCTCTGATCCCAAATGAAAAGGTAATGTGAGAACAGAGCACCAACCACCATCCAACAACCACTGAAAATCCAACTACAGAAACTACAATAAAAACATGTGACTACGTTGTTTGCATTATGCAAAGTGGTTCCTGACCACACTGGACCACCTCCATCTGCATGAATGGACATACGTGTACATTTGTGTGCTTTCAGTCATGAAGAGTACTAATGTACGCAAACATTAAAGAGGTGATGTAGGCAGCACAAAAATGACGTGTAGAGGTGAAAATGAAACTGACTGAACACAGTGTCAGCTGGACGACGCCAAGCTGCACAGGGTCGCCAGCCATGTCAAAAGATTTGCCACCTGCAACTGGCCACATCCGGCTTTTTATACCAAAATCTAAAGAAAAGACAGCAGTTACATGATGGAGGTTGCTGTGCTTCCTGACAAACACTGATAACTTCACTTTTGAAAACTCTTCTTACTGCAAGCACATAAAATTGCACATGTAGGTGAAAAGCAGTTAGCTAGCCAACGTTAGCCACCAGTATGTTATCTGTTAGGATAATAAATTTTCATTATTTTTGCAGTGGCCTGCACACAAAAATATATATTAAAGCAACACTTACCTTTCTGGATATTTTACGCTTTTTTTGTTTAGGTTAAAATGCTATTAATAAGCTGATGGTACACTAAAATGTAAGTGAATTCCACCAGTTAATAATTACACCATTCTCATATATATATTCTCATATATGACAACACAGCATCCAGTTGCTAACGGTTAGCCTACTGTAGCCTAATGTACATACCTATTAGTGCTGTCCCGAATACCATTTTTTAACATTCAGACCTTCGGCAGAATTTATAACGAATATTCGTTCACGGTGGGCGGTCGGGGGGGGTGTGCTGCTGTGGCCATGCTGCGGCCGTGCTGCCTGCTCTCTCCGGTTTTACGCCAGGCTCGGCTCCTTTCAAAGACTCCTTGCAAAGCACTCCTCCGGGTTTTTTTCGGACCTAATTGTATTGCGGAGTGTTGCACAGCGGCGAACGGATCTTTGTTCTCAAACCACATAAAAATGTGATGGCACAACAGTCTCCTTCACTACATTATTCTATGCTTTCTTTTGATTTTCACATTGGCTAGTCATCCTGTTTAATTTGTCTTCTGATTAAATCGGAACTGCTGAAACAAGTTGTAGGAAGCCTCTGCAAGTAATTGGTTGCTGGCAGACACTTTGTGCTACAATCAAATGGTTAATCAGCAGTGCCGTGCACTGTAGAGCCGATGCGCTGCTGGTTCTGCCGGCCTGAATAGAATATAATGTCTATAGCCTTACTGTTGTGTGTACAGCCTTACAGACTGAGCTGAGTAGTGATGCGCGGGTCGACCCGTTACCCATGGGACCCGCAAATGGACCTGCGGGTTGGGTAGCAGTGATCGTCTGTTAAATCGGTCTGTAAATGATATTTTGACATTATTGGCTATTACTGTCACGACATCCGAAGGTACTGATGCGTTGAGCAGGTGACAGTCCGCGGTCGTTTTCAAAAACACTTGTGTCACGCACTCCAAAAGAAACTTGTTGAAACTTTAAACAATAATTTATTGTACAAAACGGGGGAAACAAACGTTGACAAAAATGGTTCCATAATTCATATTAAATTCAAAAGATAACAAAAAAACAGCTACAAGTTAGAGGGACTAGTGATACAGTGGTAAAACTTGGCATTGATCCACAGCCTCAGACGGATGCGCTCAAGCCTGCCGTGCGTACAAGCTCAGTTGGTAGGATACTATATTTTCACATTTTTAACAATGCAATTTAAAAGTTTTCATTTTTATTGATAACCTACATTTACCAACAACAAAAAGACTACATTTAGCACCAAAAAAATATGTAAAAAAAAAAAAAAGTAAATAAAAAAAACGAATATCGAATACCAAATTTTCATAACAAATACCTACCCATAGAAACGAATATTCGAATATCCGAATATTTGGGTACAGCCCTAATATCTGTATTATCATCCTTGTTTGTTGCCAGTCACCAGTACTATGTAACGTTAGCGTTTGCGTTATATTATAAAACTCATCAGTCATCACTGACCCCGGATAAGTTTCAAAACTCAGGGGTTGCATTTGACTGTGCAGGACAGTTAACGTTATGTTTAGTTTGCTTCTAACATATAACGTTATATGACAACACAGCATCCAGTTGCTAATGGCTAACGCTAGCCTACTGTAGCGTAGCCTCTGAAACATTAACGTAATCTTCCTTGTGCGTTTCCACTTACTAGTAACGCTACTATCTAACGTTAGCACTGTAACCTCATTTTAAAACTCATCATTCATCACTGACTCCGACTGAATGTTAAAATTCTGGGGTTGGGTTTGCGTTTTTTGTTTTGAGTCTAACGTTACCTTGCCAAAGCCTACGTCTATCATAGAAGTCATGAGGACGTAATGGAGGAGGGGGGAGTAGGCCTTTGGAGGGAGGTGGAGTTGCAGAAGGAGGGGGATGGGACTTTGGAGGGAGGCGGGAGTTGTGGATGTTCAGCTTGATGAAAAACGTCTGCAGTATGTAACGCTCTCAAGATTTGCACCTTATATCTTTACGTTTCTTATAAGCAGGGATTAGAGCAGAGCTGTGGATGTTTGAATCACCAACCAGACTTCCTGCTCTGACACACTTGAGATTTAAAAAAAAAAAAGATGGAAAAGTCTTAAAATAAAACAGTTTAAAGTTACACTTGAAACAGTTTCTCAGACTGCTCGTCTTGCATTTCTTTTGCTCCCTCAGAGACTGAGATAATGCCAGATGAGTTACATATCACACCATTATCTGTATTAACTAATAACGCAGTCTCCCATGCACTAAACCTATTGTCTTTAAAGCTGCAATGACCTGAGATGGCCTCCTTGCCTCTTTCTGTCTTTGTTTTCACTACATCAGTGTTTCCCAAAGTGTTCTGTGGCCTCTCTTTAGTGTGTTTGCTTTCTCCTCTCTGAAGCTTTTGCTCAGGAGATCAATCAAACCTTCCTATGCAGGAAAAGTGCCTTCCAGAGATCTCCTTCACAGATTCAGACAAGTTAATCAGAGTGTGTCAACAGATCTATTTAAATGATAACCAAAGTGAAAGTGAAGGGCGTCAGGGTTGCTAGTGCTTGCTGTATGTGCTTATGTCACACACACACATACTCAGTGACTGATCAATCAGTGATGATTATTTTAATTATTATGATGTATTTATTATGACTACAGTCCATTTGAAGTGGAGGTAATTTTCTATATGGTTTTTACTGTTTTATCACTAACAGAAATGCAACTGTAGCAAGTATCATATTGTCACTATTCGCATTCAAATTTTAAGGAGCTACAGCTACAAAATGAGCCTAAAGATGTGGAAATCAGAGCGGAAGCACAGACAATTGCATTGAAAACATTGAATTTCCCCTCAGGGGGATTAATAAAGGAAATAAAACTTAAACTTAAGCTTAAGGTAACAGTCAGGTCAGCAGAAGGCCTAAAAGAGGCCTCAAGGTCAGGCTACTTGACCTTTGTTGTAAACGCACTCCATCTTTGGTATCCCTGTTGTGGCGGAGGGAGTACAGCTGTCCAGATAAGGGTTCCTTGCCGGCTCTATTGCCATAGTTCCCAAGGTAAAGAGGAAGGGAGATTTCCACGTTCCAGACTCAACAGACAAGAGTCTCTTGTTAGATAGGTGCATTTTGTAAGAGACAGTCAAGGTGATTTAATGCGAGCCAGGCGAGCATGCTTGTTGTTTAAAGTCAGTAACCTATAAAAACTTAGATAGATTATACAGAATAACCTTATTTAGGAACATGGAGTGACTCACAATGGAATACTGTTTGGGTTAAATGCAAGGAAAAGGTTAGAGTCTCTGGACGGCATACACTGTGTTACACTATATGTGTTTAAATGGAAACTTGATTGGAGAGACAGGGAGAGAGAGAGGAGGAAGAAATGAGAGCAGTACCTCAAAGGCTCGGTCCAGCTGGTTCATCTCTCTGAGCTGGTTTCCTTTGGAGAAATATAGCTCTGCTCTAACTGTCATATCACTGGGACTCTGCTGCAGGGCCTTGTCCAGAGCATCCAGTGCCTGGTGTGGACACACACAGTTAAACACACAAAAACAGACCAAAAACACAACAAAAATGTAAATCCCCCACTCTGAGTTGATTGCCTTGCTGTTTGGATGTACTTCCTGGTGCGACTGTTGAGGGGCACTGCTGGTTTAGAGCAAATATCACAGCAGGTGCTTAAAAAAAACCTTTCACTACCTGCTATTTTCCCCGCAGACACACTGGACACACTGACTTATAAAATGCAGATTTTTAATTTCTGCTCATAGAATTAAGCCCAGAGGCTGCAAATGGTCTTCTGGGGGAAAATAATTAAACGGGACAAATGGTGCACACTGAATGGACAAATTATGTCTGTTTCCAGGTGAAAACAAGCCTATGGAGCTATATTGGGGCCAAATGTTTCGTACTTGAAAAAATAAAATTTGAAACTGAAAATTCAAGTTTTGACCTTGAATTTTGAAAAATACATCAATGTATTCAAAATAAAAATAAGTGTATAAAAAGTTTTTTTCAGGTTAAATATAATTATGATTCACTCAGGTAATTCTTCTGAATAAATTATTTCTTTTCATTTTTCACTTTCATATATTTAGATATTTGAGATCCTATTTCTCTCAGTTGCACGTTTTATCATTTTAGATTCAGAACTTATTTTTTTTTTAGTTTCAAATCTTTTTTTCACTTTCAGTTACAGATCTTTTCTATTCAGTTTCAGACCCCCCCCCCCCGCACGCAGCTGTTGTCACCACATCTCTAGGACCTAACCGACCCATTAAAAGCTTTACATAACTTTGAAGGCATGCAACTGTCTTGCTTCCTGTAGTTAAATAATACCAGTACAATATTTACTGCTAGTGAGTTGTACATGCATTTGCTGTCTGCAAATTACCTACAGTTCTGTATCACCACCACTAGATTAAAAACATTAGATACATGTTTTTGTGTGTGTGTGTGTAAGCTGCTCAAATAAATTGCCCTTCATGAGGGAATAGTAAAGTCTGTATCTATAGATGTCATTTAACAGCCATAATTCAATCTAAATGAAAGCATCTAACTGGATTATTTTAATATTGCCTGTAACTTTAATACAGGCTGAGTTAGGCTAATGTTTTCAACTGTCCAGCATCCAGTACAGACAGTTGTAGGCTGTTTTTGTTTCATAATAATCATTATGTGGAAAAATAATTTCTTTGAATTTCTGTCATTAAAAAATATTTAATTTTAATATTTAATGGTAAAAAAGAGCAAAACAGAGAGAGAGATAAATTCCCACAGACTCCCTGCAGTGATGCTAACTGGCATGTCATTCAACACAATGTTGCCCACCTTCTTCATTGGGATGGGGAGGGGTAAAGTTATGGGGAGACAGGGCTGCTACTTCTGACCCATCTGTTGAGTCTGGTAAAAGGGGCAGGGACAACTGATTTAATGTGAATGTCTTGCTAAACATGTACCTGCACTAATTAAATGTAGGTTAAAAAGGAGTGAAATGTAGGCTAACACTAGTCTGTAGCTATCTTATTTCTCTATGGACATTAAGCTAACAGGTTAATTTCTACCACTCACAGACTATAGGCTGCCCACCTTTCTTGGAGAAAAACTGGGTCACATATGGATGTTTACTTTTTGGTCAAAGGGGATATTTAACTTTTACTGCCAAAAACAAGTAAAAACAAGGAGATCATTAAAGGAGCTATATGTAAGAAATCTAAAGCAAACAGTCGTAAAATCATCCTAATATGTCACAGAGACTAAGGAATAATGTTCATATAACATACTGATCTCACCGACAACAATAGTATGGCCAGAATATTCGCATTTAAAAAAATATTTTACGGTCCGCAAATCATGTTTATGTTTTGAATGTGTGTTTTGACCTGTTGCGCCACCCACCGCCGTCTACCAGTCACACAGTCAGTAGAGTCTCAGCATCAGTTACAGTTACGACTGAGCTACAGCAGCACGGCAAGCAGCATTAGCAGTGTCCCAGTACATAGCATTAGCAGCCGGCTCCTCCGCTGTATCCCGGCAGCAGCGTTAGCAGCAGAGAAGCCGGATTTGCTCAAACGGACCGCTGGAAAACCAAAGATCACGGACGCGGCGACACGGCCCTGCCATGGCAGCCGCTGTCCAGCAACCTCGAATCTGTAGGGGAGGGGGGGCGGTCACGACTCGCGGCAGTATTTTGAATTTGAGTGCAGTAACCGTTTTGACCACATTCTTACATACAGCGCCTTTAATTTTATTACTATATTTGGAAAAAAAAAAAAAAAAAAAAAAAAAATCTTAATGATGATGGTTTAATAATTCTATATTAATTTTTACCTATTTTTGGGGCCCCTGTCAGTCAGGGTCCCTTGGAATTGTCCTAACTTTTCTCCTCTGTATGGCGCCACTGGGCTACACCATGTGATTGGCAATTCAAGAGCTCTGGGTCCGACAACAACACACCCGTGCTCCATTGACTCTAATGGAATCGTTTCAGATTTCCTTCATTTTCAGGCTGGTTTTGTGGATTTGGAGCTAAATGTTGTGCCTGGGGCATGTTGTGTATTAATGATGCTCGTTACCTGGAGAGGTAGGAAGGAGATTTATGTTTCTTCCCTGTTTCAAAACCAAAATCAAACCCTGAAAAATGTAGGGTTAGCTAGCTAGCTCGTGAAGATATAGCCTACTGAATGTAGGCATGTTGCTTTTGCTTGTTAATGATTATAACAGGGAAAAAAGATCGACCCTGTGGTACAGGAACCAGTGAAGGGAAGCGGGGGAACTGTGTCATCGCATTGTGTACAGATGAACGCTGTTTGACTTCCCCCAGGGATCCCTGCCTGTCTGGCAGTGGAGGTCTGGATGCTGGCAGCAGCACGGGGGCGAAGCCAAACACTGTTCATCTGTTCACACTGTGATGCCACACAACTGGTTCAATAGCAAAGTTTCCCTTTATATTCACTGTCTTCTGTGGCGACCAGCAGTGATGTGGTGGTTCACTTATACACTGTGATCTGTAGCTTATAGTTCGGCTTTAGCTTCTAACTATTTTTGTCTTTTTAACATGTTGTTGCTACTGAGTCCGTTTGACATCCTGGATATATCCTTCAAACATAGACTGTAGACCCCTCTGTCTGCTTCTCTCTGGAATCACTGTTTCAGTTTTCCAAAAATATGATAATATTTCTTCAGGGAGTTAGTTACAGTGTGGGCTCCACGCTTACTCCGACAGCTTGTCGGACCATCACAAAGGGGTGGGGCTTAGCAAAGGGTCAATTGGTCCTCAGTACTGTCTTGAACAGCTTTCACATCTCACCTCTCCGAAAACATCGGAGTAAATTTCAAATAAGGCGATATTTGGATAAACTTACCTTGTATTGAAGATTATTAAAACTTCATAAAGTGACATATTAACAGCCTTAGCCTTTCAGTGGAAATTAAAACAGATTTAGCCGTGCAGGATATTTGTGCATGCTGTGCAAATGGAAGTTTGTCACTGACATCAGTTTTGTCACTGCCAATCACATGGTGTAGCCTATAGAAAGTGTTGAGTTGAATTGTTTTAGTGCCTACGTTCCCTGAAGACAATGTGACAGAGGAAGGTCCTTATGCCACATTCGTTTGGCAATCCAGGCCGGTCATTCCTTGTCGGATTTATATGACCGTATGACACGTCTGATCTGAAAGCATTTCATTGCAACAGTCTGGAAAACATGGCGGCACGCCGTAAGTTTGTTTTTGTTTGCATCGTTGCTGAGCACCGGAGACTTTGCTGGTTCAAGCGACTTTAGGCTACAACGGGCTTGCACAGACTTTTTTTCCCAACACAAATCAACAGTGGAAATAGAAATGCCATTGCAAAGTACTTGTATGATTTGTACAACACAAACGCTTAATTAAACAGCATATATGAGGACAAATTGAGGACAAATAACTTTGTTTACCATTCACAATGTGCGCAGCCATCTTCGTCGTGACGTCAATTCTACCGACTCGGTCTACCTGGACCTTGCCTGAGTTTGATGACGAGACCTCCGGGTAAAACGGGTGTTCTTTTGTACCTTTCCGGACCGGAAACAGTATCAATCCCGGTTCCGGCTACCAACAGAATGCAGCATTAGTCTTTTTGTTAAGCTGTCGGTCATGATTCCACACCTCTCTCAGTTGATGCCACGCCCCCATGCTAGATCAAGGCCAAAAGTCTGAAACTGAAAAGATCTGAAAGTGAAAAAGAAAGTTCTGAAAGATCTGAATGTAAAAAAAAGATTTGAAACTGGAAAAAATAAGACCTGAATCTCAAAAGATAAAACGTGCAACTGAAAGAAAAAGGATCTCAGATATCTAAATATAAGAAAGTGAAAAATGGAAATAAATAATTTATTCAAAATAATTACCAGGGTGATTCATAATTATATTTAACCTGAATTTTTTTTGTACACTTATTTTTTATTTTGAATACATTGATGTATTTTTCAAAATTCAAGATCAAAAATTTTCAGTTTCAAATTTTATTTTTTCAAATACAAAACATTTGGCCCCAATATAGCTCCATACAAGCCCATGTCACTTTCTCTTGATTTTTCTCTTAGTTAGTCAACAACTTTTGCAAAGGAGAAAGTGGATTGAGCAAGTATGGTAAAGTGAGTAACACGATCAGATATGTGCATACCTGTGCATTACCTACTGTGTGGAGATTTAGGTAGATGCATACAAAATTGTCACAAATCCCATTTTTATGCTAAAGAGGAGAGCTATAACAATTGTTATTATGAACCAACCATAAAATGATTTAGAAACTCTACATGCTGTCAAATTTAGAGATTTGGTGGATTTAAAAACACAACATTGATGTACAGTACAGGCCAAAAGTTTGGACACACCTTCTCATTCAATGCGTTTTCTTTATTTTCATGACTATTTACATTGTAGATTCTCACTGAAGGCATCAAAACTATGAATGAACACATGTGGAGTTATGTACTTAACAAAAAAAGGTGAAATAACTGAAAACATGTTTTATATTCTA